AATTTTCTTGGTAAGAAGGGCTATTTGGGTGTCCGTATACGAGGAGATGGGGTTGGAAGGCATGGCTTGGGGTTGGACGACACTCTCTTTTGCTTTGGTGTTGAGAGGGGTTGTCGGGCCCGGAAGAGCTAAGGTATTGGGAGTTGACTCTTTGGGTGAAGAGTTGAAGGTGAATGGGAGGTAGGACTAGTAGTACCCGAAGAGGTAGGACTAGTAGTACCCGAAGAGGTAGAATTAGTGGTGCTCGTGGAAGTAGAGCTAGTGGTGTGGCTCGTCGAGGAAGAGTTATGGGAGGGCGTAGAGATAGTTTTTTCTAAAATGAATGGAAACGGGAAGGCGAGTATGAATGCAAAACGAAGGGTATGACAAATGAATGAAACAAATTACAAGAAGTACAAGTCTCGTAAGAAGGTGCATTACAAAGGTAATCTCAACGAAATAAAGGAGTTAAGAGAAGTAAGCGTACCCATAAAGCTTGCCGATGCGGCCATGGTATGCGACTTGGTGAGTGCTCGTCGGAGAGGAGTGTTCGTCGGGTCCCGGGGGGTACTAGGCGTCCTCGGTGGTTCTTGGTGTCCTAAGATGTAAGCTCGGCGTGTCTTTGGTGTGGGCTCGGCGTGCGCACGGCGCGATGAGGGCGTAGCTCAAGGCCGTCGGAGGAGGCGTACTAGGCGCGTGAACGACGGATTGGCGTGGGCTCGTCGAGATAGTGCGCGTCGGGTAAATTTGCTCGTCGGTGGTATAAGCTCGTCGAATGGTAGCCGCCGGATTTTAACTAAGGGTTGAGTGCTCTCTTTTTAGAGAGAGAAATTATGTAGGAGAAGCATTTTGTAGGAGGAGATTAAATGAGTTGATTGTTGAGATGGTGAATGGGGATGAAAGGAGGAAGAGTATTTATAGATGAGGAATTAGGGTTTGATGGTGTTGGTTCATCTTGGCCCTTGGTTTGAAAATAGATCAAGGGTGGAGAATGAGGCTTGGGGAAGAAGCCAATTGAGTCATTCAAGGAGGACATGTGATGAATGTGACATATGATGGAAGGTTGGACTTGTGATATGATGATGGGTAGGTATGGCTAGGTGCATGAGAGGAAGAGGTGTCCAAGTTCCAATGAAAGTCATGTGTGTTGGGATAAGTTGTGTTCGGTTGGGTGATCGGCGCGGTTTGGTGTTAAAGGTGTTCGACGCTCGGTGCCCGGCGCCGCGAGTGTATGGTGAGTTGCGGGTGTCCGGCGTAGGGCATGTGTTCGGCATTTGGGGTCCTTGGTGGCGGAGAGCTCGGCGTGGGGAGCTCGGGGCGGAAATGCTCGGCATGCGGAGCACGGCGTGGGTGTGCTCGGCATGGGTATGTGCGGCAGTTGAGTGCTCGGCATCTGTGGGTGCTCGGCACTCGAGAGGACAACATTAGTAAGTGCTCGGCATTGGCGACACCGCAACAACACGTGGTTAGCTCGGCATGGATGGGCACTCGGCATCGGAGTAGCGCTCGGCAGGTGGAGTGCTCGGCAGGGCGGTGCTCGGCATCAGTGGTCGTCGCTTCAAGTTCTCGGCATCGGCGCATAGGACCACGAGTGCTCGGCGCGGTGGAGTGCACGCCATGGACGAGTGCTCGCGCAGTGGAGTGCTCGGCGGCCCAGTGCTCGGCATCTTGGAGCTCGGCGCAGCTCGGGCACTTGACGCCCCTCGTGTGCTCGGCGTGAGCAAGTGCTCGGCACTGACGTGGGTGCCCGGCCTTGTGCGGTGCCCGGTATCGCGATAATCCTACAGGGTATAAATTGACTCGAATACACCGTACGCGACCGAGCGGAGCGAGCGGAGCTACGCGAGCAGGCATCAGCCTGCCTCTTTCTTTTGTCAAATTACAAGCCATACCAATACATTCCTTACAACAAGTTCAACTTGTCTAAGGAACGGGGGGGCTAGATGATGTGGCCGATAGTAATGGCTGGTGAGGAACCGGTCGTGACCCGGTCATCATTGTCAATATGGAGGAGACCGGCTAAGCATTATGGTAGTCGGCGCGGTTGGGAGTGCTCAGCGTCGCATAGTGTTCGGCGCCCCTCAAGTGCTCGGCATTGGAGGTGGCCGGGATGAAATGACTGGCGCGGCATCAGCCGGCATAGCGAGTGCTCGGCGTGGGTGAGTGCTCGGCGCGGGGCCTCCAGCGGGTGCTCGGCCAAGGGAGGTGCCCGGCGGCCCTCGTGTGTTCGGCGGCCCTCGCATGC